TCGCCCGGCTTATTTTTTTGTATTTTTAGTAGAGACGGGGTTTCACCGTGTTAGCCAGGATGGTCTCGATCTCCTGACCTTGTGATCCACCCGTCTCGGCCTCCCAAAGTGCTGGGATTACAGGCTTGAGCCACCGCGCCTGGCCCAATTAACATGTTTATGAACTTTGTTGGAGCCTCTGACATCTATTATACTAAATATGACATCTATGATAATAAAGCCTTTCTGATAGCCTAACAAGTCTGTTATCTTTGCTTCTTTCTAACTTCATTGTCAGATAATATTATCAGACATTTTTCTCAAGAAAACAAGAAGAAAAATTAAGAAGAAACCTACCCCTCTTAAACTTTGTTCATCATGAAACATGTGTGTTTCTGCGCTTCCCACTGGACTGCAGAGAAAAGCTCAACTGGAGACTCACATTGTTTTCTGAACACATGGGCACGTCTCTAGATGCCTGCATTTGAACACTTATGTAACTTTACTGGGATGTAATGGTTTTCTGAACACATGGGCACATCTCCAGATGCCTGCATTTGAACGCTTATGTAACTTTACTGGGACGTAATGGTTTTCTGGTTATTATGCACAGCAGCGTGTTAAACTCACAATTAGTTAAGTGTGAAGTCTTCTGCTGTAGCATTTAAATATCGTATTGCTCTAAACAGGAACACCACATCTTCCCAAAAGCTCCAATACTGTGGTGGGGGAGAGTGAGGTGAATAAGGGTACTATATAGTATTCAGTGGTCTTGCTTAATTTTAATTTGTAACAGTGAATTATGTGGGGATGTCTTTTTGATATCTGGCTTCATCGTTTATAGTTGTGTGACCGTAAAATATATTACCTCTCAAACAGCTCCTTATCTGAAAATAGGGGATAATCATCCATTTCATAACCAATCTTTCATCGGGTTGTCATGAGGATTAAATGAGATAATATACACACAGCACTCACATAAAGCTTGACATTGGCACTGGGAGTGGTAAGCACACTCCATGAGTGATAGCTGTCACAAAAGTAAAGTTCTTCTGTGGTTAAAAGCTAGAAATAGAAAGCAGCTTTTATAGAAAATCACAATTTATAAGCAGTTTTTAAAGGTCTGGAATAAGAGAATAAACAGAAACCACTATTTCAGAAAAAAATGAAAAAACATTAGATGTTTCCCAAGATGTTGGGCAGGTCTGTAGTGATTTCTAGGGCTGGCAAAATAGCAACTACAAAATATATTCTCAGACCATCTGATCGTTAAGTGTTATTCGATGATGGGAATTATGAAGAATCCTACCAGGCATTCTTCCCTTCGGTGTCGACTGACAGAGCAAAGATCTACTCTCAGTGTCTTCTGTTGTAAAGCTGTTTGGGAAATGGCGACTCTGAACACATCATTGAATAAAATGGATTCTGTGGGCGGATGAACTTTTGTGCGAAACAGACAGCTGACATCAGTTGAGGAAGGAAGAACGGCAACCCTAAAATATCTGCAAAGAACAAGAATAAAACGGATTTCATAGGTACTTTAATTTTACCAGATTCACAGCTATCTTTTGAAATTATCTGCAAAGAAAGAAAATGAGGGATCATGGAGTTCATGATCAATCTAAAGTGTTGCTGCTATCACGGGTCCGTGCTCAGCTGCATAGATGCTCTGTTCTGAACCCACCCAAGCTGACTACGCCCCTGAGCATGCAACGGCCCAGCCTCCACTCACCACGAGACTGCAGCAAAGGCACATGATAGGAAAGTGAAGAGGAAGAAAATCCACAGGGCAGACGAATTTAACGTCCCACCTGCCCCATGTACAGCCAATTCCAAAATAAGTTATTTCTGAGCCTGGGAAGGTAGGAACACACTAAGTAGATACTGGTGACTTTATCCCACAGAATCCTCATCCTGAGTATTAAACAAGAGATGCTGATGATCACTTCCCAGGAATGGAATACATTATCCTACTAGAGAAAAAGAAAGGCTAAGTAGCATATTGTTAAGAAAATTTAAAACAGATGAAATAACAGTTCAAAAATATCACTGTCTAGCATCTCCAAAGTCTGAGATACGACAAACTGTTTTAAAAGAGTCTCTTGCCTTGCAAAATTCAGAGGAAGAGTTACAGAAAAACAATAACTTCTAATACTACTTTAAAGTGACTTTTCTGAGCACACATTATATGAAGACCCACAATTCTTAGAAACAGCTGAGGTAACTTCCTTTAAATCCCAGAAAGAGAATATCGCTAAGTCTATCCCTCCACCACCATTTCCAGGCTTGTCTAATCTGTATTCTAAAACATGTCTTTCTCCATTAGAAAAACTGTAATTCAAATGCAGAACTGAGGAATGTCATATTATTTTGTATTTCATATCAATACTAATTATGGAGATTCCACATTGAAGACCTAGTGGGCCTGAGGCCCACTGCTGTTGATTAAACAGCCTTAATAAGACACAGCTCACTGTCCCTGGGAGGCTGAAGATTCAGCAGAAGAAAATCTTTTCTCTGCTTTCGTGGAAAAGTAATAAAGAAGAAGTGTATTAGAGTGGCAATGGAGGGAAGGGATCTTCTGTTTCTCCAGCCATCACACCAGTGAAGCCTTCCGTACCAGCGGCCTAACCACTTAAGTGATTTAAAAATGTTTCCACATTTTAAAAGTGAGATTTTACACAGTTAAGAGCCAAATATACAAGGGAAAGAAGGCAAGGGTATGCTCTCTCTCATTCTGTTGTAGGGGTGGGCGCGTTGGGGGGGCATATCTCTACAACCTGGAGTCCAGCAAGCGACTCACAAAAATACCGTGGCTGTTGCCAACCAGAGGAAGCGTAAACTCTGTCTGTCACAATTAATAATCAAAAAATTAACTTTTGAAGTTGGGGAAAAAAAGAACAATTTTAAGACTATCTCATACTAGCTGTCATGTTTAGCAGTGTCATTATTTATGCCAAGGCTTTTACATATGGGTTTAAGGAAAGATTGCTATACGTGTCAGGAAGGTTCGCACCAACTAAACGCGTGTCTGCACACCAGCTGGGGAACCGAAGAGCAAATGTCTGCTCATTGGCTGGGCTGAGTACTTCACTGGTCCTACACCACACAGGTATCACCATGCCTCCAGAAGGGACTTGGTGACATCCTATGAGGTAAGTGAGAATGACTGTGATTGGTTTAGTTGAAGTAGAGCATATTGTAGGTGTACCCTTACAGTGAGTTTGAAGGTGTGTGTTCTTGGGATGTTCTGTAGTTTTCTCCTGAAGTTGTGTATTGTTTCTCACTGTTTATTGTTTCAATCCTGGTAGACTTGTCTTCTCCGTGATCTGCTTTACTAAAAGGCCATCAATGGCATGCTCCAACATCACAAGTTATTTACCGGTAGGGAGAAGTCACAGATTATATCAAGCCAGTCTTCCTGGACACTGCTGACTGGTGTTTTTCATCTCAGGCCTGGGAAGCAGGCTGTCTGTGTTGATCTAGGCCCTTCTACGTGATGCCTGCTCGCCTCACTGATCTCACTAATGATGTTGACAGCCCACGCCTTGATTCAGGAAGTTCTCTAAGCTCACTCTCTTCCTAGAATCCTATCCTACCTCCAATTTTGATGCTTGTCAACACATTAAAATCTACTATCTCACCTGGGCTCGGTGGCTCATGCCCGTAATCCCAGCACTTTGGGAGGCCAAGGTGGGAGAGCCCAAGGAGTTCAAGACCAGCCTGGGCAACCCAGTGAGACCCCATCTTTACAAAAACAAGAAGAAAGAAATCCACGATCTCTATTCTTCTTTGTTGAGTACATAATCTCTATCTAGTTCTTTTTCTCTTAGATCCAGTTTCTTCTTTCTGATGATTATTGGAATGTTAGGAGGTGAATTTACAAGTAACTCTGTAGGAAAAACATGAAGGACTCTTAAATTTATTCTATTAAAAGTCCTATCACTAAGGAATATACTCTATCATTAAGGAAAACATTCACCTGGCTGGGTATAGAGTCTTGGGGATCATCCCTCAACAGCTCTTTTTAAATTTCCAAAGCCTTACAATGCATATTCAAAATATTATTAAAATCCACTTGTTACAGGAAGTTTCAATGCAGAGTGGACATGTATATTCTGGATTCTATGTCTGACGTGCTAAGTCGAAATCTGGATTCTTCCTGGTACTGTCCAGCCATGAGCCCTTCAGAGTCCCTGAAACTCTGATGTCAGAAAATGTTAATGGTGGCATCTAAGACTTCCAGACTTATCTGTCATAAGATTTTTAGGCTTATCTGTCAGGAAACAGTCTCTAAGCAATGGACTGTGTAGAATTATGTCATCAATTTGTTGGGATTCTTGGTTTGATGAAATGAAATAACTTTAAGAACTCACTGGTCACAGGGAAGTAAATGCTTGATGATGAAAACATACATGTAGCATGACAAAATGTTTGACTGGCAATGTTGTACTGATACATTAAATTTAATCACTACATTTTAATGTAAAAGATTAGAAAATTCCTTAAACAACAGTAGTAACAATTACACAATAACAAAAGTTTTACTCCTATTTCAATCAAATTCCAAAACAGCATAAAATAGTATTTCTGGTTACAAAAAAAAGATTAAAAGTCTTGGCTTCTACTGTTAAAAAGAATCAGTTGAATAAGAATTAAAACTCAATAAGTCTTCCTCACATTTTCCTTTTTATCTTTGTCTGCCATTCATTCAGACATGATCAGCCCTGTTATGTCTTTTCCATATCTTCATTTTGATGAACTGCATGATTACAGTGTAAAATTCTCTTACATGGAAATTTTTAAGTTCCTCAATTTGATCTTCACTGATTTTACTTACACTTTTGAAGTATGAGGTATCAAGAAGGCATGAAGGTTTCGGAGCTGTGCTATAATCACCATGAAACTTGAACTTTTTGCATTGTATCTGTCAAAAGAGAGGCTAAATGAAGTCAGGAATCACCACAGGCCGCTTGCCCCGCACAGATGTCAGAACTGCTCCTTTCCCACACACGTTCCTTACCTGAGTCCTATCTGAACCTGGGCGGTCTCCACAATGGCTACGTCCTCTTCACTGTATGTGACATCTTCAATTTCACTAGGCCTATATGGACAGGGAGTAGATGAACAGTTAATTAATGGGGTTACTAATTGTTATGGTTACAGTTTGCCACTTACCGTTCTGAATGAAAATCCGAATTAACAGCACTCCTATGCCCTCCCAGTGGAACTGATCCCAGTGAAAGCTTACTGTTTTAGAGGCTCTTTTCAAGAAGAGTTCGCCTCTGGGCTTTAGGGCAAAGCCTCTCTGATGACTACTTTCCTTATTACTAGAAATATACCACATCCTAGAGACATTCCAGGCTTTCAGAAATACACATGAGAAGCTTCATGTGCCAAACAGAGTCTGGTGAATTCTTCCAATATTCCCATTAAAATCAAGGTTTTTAAATTTTAAAGAGGGTCATTTGCCTCTGGGTACACCAATCTGTTTATCATTTCCATGGCAAAGTCATTTTTGATATACTGAAATTTTCAGCCACATCACTTCTTTAACGGCTAAAGTCCTTACTAAGCCAAAGAGTGGACTAATGGTAGCAGTCCATTTACAGCATATAACCCACACCCACGGCGAAGGAGATTTGCTGGAGCTACAAGCACCCCTGCTGAATCCTTACTGTTTCACAAAAGCTTCATAGACCCCACTGTCTCCAGCCACAGACTCATCAGATACAGCAGCCGACACACAAGTGGTTTTCTCCCCAAGCAAGTGGATCACTCTTCTTTTTGGTAATGATTTTTCCACATCTATGGAGGGGAGGGTGAGAGCTCTAATCAGAATGTCTTATGTGGAAAAGTTAAGCATTAAATACATACACAGTTTGGTCATGAGCAATCCAAAATAAGATATCCTTCTGGGAGTCAAGGATGTTAATATTCAAATCTACAGATGCAAACAATTCAAGGCACTATGACTTATAAGATTCCTGGGACGCCAGTTATTTCAGTCATTACTTGGAAGAGAATATGGTTTTTCTTTGTCCTGAAATATTTTAAGGGAAGGGATGAATTACACAAATTCTCACTGGTCCTTAGTCTCTTTCTTTCAAGCATTCACTGTAGTTTTCATATATTCAGGAATAGGAAATGATCTATGTCCCTCAAGGTGACATTTCTATCACAGAGAGCTTCTAGCTACTCAATGGATACGTTTCCACCTCTTTTGCTCTCCCCTTCTCTCCACATGCCATTTTCTACATCTCCTGTGCTACTATTCTAACAGAAATTAAGAAAAAATGTCTTTGACTTACAGGAACTCCTCACCAGCCAACACCATGAAAAAACGTTTTGTGCTACTGAATCTTTAGCACCAATGGTCACTTAACTTTTATCTTAACTCATATTCATACACCAGCATCCTGCAGTGAGCAAGGAGCATTCATTTAAGGCTGTGCTCTGTACTGTAATAAGCTGCAAGCCTGTGGTGCTCTTTCATCCTCCAGTGAGCGAGGGTGAGCGCAGGGATCTGTATTGGTATGCATTTCGGCCCCCTTCTGAGTCGTGACTTTACATCTTGTTAAGATGTTTAAGTTTTAAGGCTTCAGATTACAGGATTGATTGCTGCATTTTCCCTTTTATTTCTGGCAGTGGGAATGCTTTTTCCTTGATGATGAAGTGCCTTCTCTCTGCCCACCCCCCTTTGTGAGGGGTGAAGGTGATGACATGATTTATTGATTACCCCCAGGAATAACCATAGCAGCCTGAAATTGACTTTGACAATGACAGTGACTGACTGTGGAAGGCCTTCATAGTTATCCCAACGTGGTTGGTGTCATGCAGCAGGGATTGGCACTGGAGAGCAAAGTTTACATAAAAGGGACTTGACTTTACCTGCCTAAGCCTCTAGAGCACTGAGGGAGATGACAAACGTCCCTGATAGGGAGCCATCACCCCCACATGCAGGGCAGATGTCCCCTGAAAAAAAGTGCTGGTGACCTGAAGATAATTCATCTTTCTTTTTTTTTGAGACAAGGTCTCACTCCTGTCGCCTAGGCTGGAGTGCAGTGGTGCAATCTCAGCTTGTTGCAGCCTTGACATCCTCCTGCCTCAGCCTCCTGGGACCACAGGTGTCCACCACCGTGCCCAGCTAATTTGTGAGAATTAGTCTTTATGGTTAAATGCATGCTGTCACTTGTTTTTGGACATGCAACTGAATATTATCTGCAATCAAAGTTCTTGGATGTATTTTCTCTTAGGGTAACTTTTTAACAGCAGTTTTCTAATATATGCATTTAAAAAGTTAAAAACTGTTTCACAAAAGATTCAGAGATACCTGTCTCCAGCCACAAACTTTTCAGACACAGCAAGACCCAAGTGTCAGGAAAAAGGCATGGGCCAACCAGAGACATTTGCAAGACAGGACTCCCAGACCTCAGGATTACTGGGTGGGTGACAGACTTTAGGCAACTTTTTCCCTCATCACTCTCTCCCTTCTTCTCCAGCATCCAGCCTCACTTACTGCCCCTCCAAACTGACTGAACATTAGAAGTGGTCAGTAGATACCACTCCAAATATAGGAAGAGCAAAACTAGCTTGAAGGGTCAAGAGATGTAAGTTCAAAGCACAGGATGGAACACTGGCACAGAGAACATTTCACTTTCTTCTCTTTCTTCTTCTCATAGCTTTCCAAAGTTTATGGTAAGAATTGTGTTTAGCCAGAGTTTATTACTTATCATCATCACTGTCACAGAGTACTAATAATTATCAAGAACTGTGTGCTGAGTGCCAGACATGTAACACACACACACACAGACACACACACACCATACTCCTTCCCAGAAGCAGTGGTGAAGGCCCCACACGGCTTTCTGTTTCTTTGGGGCCATTACCTATGCACCATTCCCCTGGTTATTTTCTTTGTGGTTATTTCCATAACCTGTTACTTGTAGCTTTGCCATCTGCCCGGGAGGGGGCGCACAAACCACACAAATGTCTCATGGGCCCTCCCTCTGCCCCAGGCCACTGGCAGGGCACAGCACTTGGGTCTTCAGTATTTGAAACCACAGAAACATGGTGGATTTGTCAATGTCTTTAAATATCTGAATTGGCCAATCGATTACTTAGAATTCTTAGGACCATACATACAAATGAAAATGCTTCTAGGAACAGGAAAAGAGCACTTCTAAAGAGCCCTGCCCTCTTTTGTGTGGTCAGTAAAACATGTAGCTATGAACAGGACTCCTCTAGACTAGCACAGGGGCTTTTATTTCACATTCTGTCTCAAGCTAGCTCTGGAACAGATCCTCCTCCTCAGACCAACAGTGATCATCTGCCAGCAAGAGTACCATCTTGTGCTCTTTACAATCACATCTAACATATTCAAAGTTCCTGCCTTGCAAAGGAAAACAAACAAACAAAACATTATATTTTTCCTGTTTCTGTCTTTTTGAATACAAACGCAGGCCTAAGAACTCCAATCTCTAGTAATCTCTTCCCGGGGCTGCAACAGTCCACCTGGCCAGAAGGTGGCAGGGTAATACCATACACTGCAACCTGCTGCTCCAAATTAACTTTTGCCAGAAAAGGAGAGTCTGGCTTGAAACAAAAACTGTATTTATATAGAATTCCCTCAACAATCTAAACACTGAACCTTGGTACTAATTAGCTAGTATGTTAATTGCCTTGGTTTTAATCTGTTTTAGGCCAACTTTTAAAAGACAATCCTCTTTGCCTTGCTATTTCAGAACCGGAATCTATTTGGAAATATGAAATGGGTTCACAAAATACGTTCCTCGTCAGCTACCACACACAGAGTGTCTCTGGACAACTGAACAGGTACTAAATGATTAATTCTATTAAATAGGGAAGGTGATTTTTATTTGATAATGAAAAATATCTAGGTATATAAGTAAAAACTCCTTCTTAAATGAAGCCAAAACGATTACTCAAAAGAAAGGGAAGGGGAATCATACCCTTTTGTTTATATGGAAAAATAACCCTCCAATCATCCTCCTTAAAATCACCAAGAGGGAATACATGAAAGCAAAGGGCTGCATTTACCTGCAGTTCCTTCATATAATGGCTCACCAGCACATTCATTAAGGTCTTTATCCTCTGAAAGAGACTGGGAGGCTCCTCCTGAATCAGAATCCAGCAAAATCTGATTTTCGACAAGGCCGATATCTGCAAAATGGCTACTCAATTCACAGTCTTCAAAGTCAGCAGAGAACTGATGGAGAGAGGCATCATGAGAAGACAAGGGAAACGTGCCTTCCAAAACCAAGGGAGAGCCTGGAGGAGACAAGGAGGAAAGGGAGGACCTCGAGGACAGGGAGGCCACAGACTTGGGGGCCTCAGCCAGCGGAGGAGTGTGGCCTGTTGCTGCAGCTGCCACCCCACAGAGTCCACTCTGGCCAGGCTGGCTGGGGGACTTGACCACCTCGTTTTCATGGATGGTGGTAATGGGTCCGGAAGGAATGTAACCGCTTTTCTCTTGCAGAAGGAAGTCCAGTTTATACTGATAATCCACATCTATCTGATCACTTTGACTGCTGTAATAGAGTTCAGTGGAACTGAGGGAGTTGAGTGACCCTCTGCTGGAGGTGTTCAGAGAGCCCCGACTTGATGCCAGGGAACCCAGGCTGCTCCCAGATGACATGGACAGGGTGCTGGCAGAGAGGCTGAAAGATGAAAAGCACACACCATAAAATCTGCTACAAAATGGAAAACCTATCACAATCCCTACTGGCTCCTTCAGATCTGCAGAGGGAAGAAACCTGCTAAAGAATGGAATCAATGGCCAGGGACAGAGGAAATCCCTATCACGGCCACGTGTCAGTTAACAACCAGGTCGAGTTCTGAGAAATGCATGTTAGGTGATTTCATCACTGTGCAAACATCACAGAGTGTACTTACACAAACCGAGACGGTACAGCCCACTGCACACCCAAGCTATAGGGTGTAGCCTATTGATTCCAGGCTGTTCACAGAGTGTACTTACACAAACCGAGACGGTACAGCCCACTGCACACCCAAGCTATAGGGTGTAGCCTATTGCTCCCAGGCTGTGTGTGCAAACATCACAGAGTGTACTTACACAAACCTAGATGGTACAGCCCACTGCACACCCAAGCTATAGGGTGTAGTCTATTGCTCCCAGGCTGTGTGTGCAAACATCACAGAGTGTACTTACACAAACCTAGACGGTACAGCCCACTGCACACCCAAGCTATAAGGTGTAGTCTATTGCTCCCAGGCTATGAACATGCACAGTAGTTGCTGTTCTGAATACTGTAGGCAATTGTAACACAATGGTAGTATTTGTGTATCTAAACATAGCTAAACTAGAAAAAGCATGGTAAAAATACAGTATTATAATCTTATGGGACCACCATCATATATGCAGTCTGTCCTTGACAAACAGTCATCATGTGGCACATAACTGTATACCATGTCTATGCTTCTTCACTAACCTTTTCAGCCTTGCTCTCCAAATATTCTTTAAGTAGCTAGTAGCACTATTAAACATTATCCTCCTTTTGCAAAAATAAAAAGAATCAAATACTTGCTGATAAGTTTATTTGCACAGACATCTAGAAGCCACTTTGTGATTAAAAAATATTGAAAGAAAAAAAAGAGAAACAGGGCAAAAACATTAATGTAGATTTTTATTTTTTTTTTAAAAAAAAGCTTTTTATTTTTAGAGAAAAGAAGGCAAGCTAATAAAAAGAAAGAAGTCACACAAAAGACCCTTGGTTTCGCTCACCTTTCCTCTTTGTGTGTGAATGTGAGGAGTGAATTTTTTTATAAGGAAATCTATGGCCATTTTAAGGCAAAACTCCCCCATTTTCCCTTTTTAAAAAATGGGGCAATGGGAAAAATGTGTTATTTTCCTAAGTGTATTGACAGCTAAAACATATCTTCTTTCTATAACGTATTTCAAATGTATTCCAAATATGACACTGGGTTCATGAAAAAGAAAATGTGACTTTAAATCTGATCACTCAAATATTAACTGTACTAGTATAATGATTTTATTTACTTTTAAGTAGTTGGAAATAAAGTGAAAAGTAATCAGAGATGAACAAGAATATGCCTGAATGTATTCAGAGAAAAGTTTTCCCCTCAGAAATCTGATAAGCTCACCTTTTAAGTTGTGAATGCAAATAAGTAGTTAATCTAGTAGTTTCTTCAAGTTTCTGTAACAGCTCTTTTCTTCTCTCTTCCAATCTCAATCTAGGAAGAAAAAAATTATTTTCAAATGATTGTAACAAAATATGAAAACTGAAAGAAAAGAAAGATTCTTTTTGTACAAGCATTACAGATCACAAGGGGAAAATGTGAATGGGCTCCACAGACAGAAAACAGGACACTCAGCAAGGAGTGTCGGAGGCAGAGCTGCACACAGCCAAGCTGAAGAATGGGGACAGAGCGTCATGCCCAATCACCAATGTCACTGAGAATTTAAAATTGCTGGTAGTCTAGAATCTTTTTAAATGGGTAAATAACATGGTCCTTTGAGTTGGGGAAGAAGATTGAGGAGGAAACAACCAAGAAAACAAAAAAACTAAACAAAGACTAAGAATCCTGACACAGATCTGTGACTTGGGAACCCTTTCCTAAAACATTTCACAGCAATAGTAAAGGTCACCCTAAATACCGAATTTAGTAACGCTTGTTCCAACATAATATTTGGCGATAACATTCCCAACCCTAATTTGGTAAGAATTTCAGCAATTAAGAAACAATTTTAGTCCACATTACCACTGTGGGCTAATTTGGGCTCAACTGTTTAAGGAAGAGGATGAGCTAAAAGTGATTTCCCTTCCAACCCATAGCACATCTCATTATCTGTGTCAGATTATCATAAAATTTCACCCATACTCAGCTGCAAAAGCTTTTTTTTTTTAAAATTAGAATACAGCATTATAGAACTGTATACTTGAATAGTAAGTCATTTTAGAATATACTACGTACCCAGGGATTTATGCAACTAAGAGTCTGTGTAAGGATAGCCTATGTCATATGAAGGTCTTTAGACATCATTGAAATACACTAGTTCAGAGTAGTGAGCAGCAGAATGGAATTCAGGAAAAGGGCATCTGGGTTTCTAATCTTGATTTGCAGCTTACTAGCTGCAGATCCTTGGGTAAGTCACTGAATCAAGGGTCTTCCTTTTCTAATCTGTCAGACGGTGACTATAATTCCCCTGTGTCTCCCTGGTAAGGCTGTTAAAGAGATGTATGGGAAAGTACTCGACAGAGAAGAAAAACAAATCTGACTTGTTTAAAGCCTCCGCATGCCCTGCAAAGTGGGATATAGAAATTAGCCACTTTTCTTTGGAGAAAAATAAAATTTCCTTAATTTTGAATCTCTTTGAAATGTGATATATGTTTCTGGCAGTAAGGAAACATGCCCGTATTTTGTTTATAGGTATCTATCCCTTTGATGTGTCAACAACGCTATTCCATTGTATGTTACACTAAAAAAGTAATTCTTGCCATTTTCTTTAATACTTCAAAAGCGTGATAAATTCTTAATTCATGGCTTTCAAAGGTGTATTTTTAAAAGCAGCAGTCATTTTTAAAATCTTTCAAATATAAATAAAAACTCAACAAGGAAAAAAGTAATATGAAGTAGACTAACTGAAGTAAAAGGTGCACAAAGGTCTGAAGAAAGCCCCAAACTCTACTAAAATCCATGTCTTCTGAAACAAGAGAAACACTTTGGAAGTAAGTTTTAAAACTCAATATTGCTTTTATTAAAATGAAGCCTTTTCCTAGTGCTTTCAGGGGGCATCAGGATGACATCAGAATGTGACCCTGAGCCACACTTTCAGTGCTGCCCCTCCCCCATCACTAGGGAGCGTCCTTAGCCTTCTCCAGGTGATGCTCAGCAGCTGCTCTTTCAGCCCTTTAATGTCTGCTTTGAACTACAGGTGCCTGTCTTTGTGTTCTTGTTCATATTTCCCACTTGGCTCCTACAATCCCAGAAGGCAGACACCAGCCCTTTCTCCCTGCAGTGCAGGGTGCACTGGCCAGTCCCTCCGTTCTTGCTGGTGCTGAGATGAAACCTTCCCCGGGATGAGCATGAGGAAGGCACTGGGGAGAGGCACAGAAACCCTCCTAGTGGGCCACAGTTTGTCTCTGATGTTATCATCAAAGCCTCTCCTAGTGACAGCCCGAAGTCTTCCTCAGAATCCAGGTGTATTGCATGTGAAACGCCCTCCCCACCTTCCCCATAACCAGGGGTTAGAAGAAACTGCAGACATCAGTGCTCTCAAAAGGGTGCATACCTGTCTCTCTGAGTTCTTCTCCAACTCCTGCCTGTTGGTCTGCTGGATGAGAAAGGGTTTCCTCTACTTGGCCCTTAAAAGATTCCTCCCCCTGGCCCAGCTGTTCCACATCCCCTTTCAAGCTGCCCTTTGTGAAGTATGGGCCTTCACACCTGCCCGTCTCTGCCCTGAGTGCCCTGCAGGAGAGAAGCACAGCCTGGCTTCTCCTGAACTCAGAAGTCTGCACCTAGGGAAAATGTCATGTCATCTGTAGAAGTAGGAAGTCCCTTTTCCATTCAAAACTAAATGACACTCATGTCCCCACCTACTTGCTTTAAAAATATTTTCAGAAGCAGTGGCAAAATCATTCAAATAATTAAGAAACAATTAAAACGTCTTGGCAATTACAAGGCAAATCTCCAACATTTGTGAGAAAACAAGGGGCAATGTTAAGATCTTACCAGCTATAGAAAAGCATAGAGTTTAAGGAATTTCAATAACTGCATGGAAAGAATATGAAAGATGCCTAGAAACACCTTCCCTGCATGGTATTTTTCATTTGTGAGCAATTTCTCTTTTGGCCTAACGATCCTCCACCATGAGCACCTCTTTCCCACCACCAGGTGGCGAGCACGGTCGCTGCCATCAGGCCCAGTAGGCGACACTGCAGCCCTGCAGGGGCAGGAACAGAGCCGGTCCGGGGGCTGTAGGATCACTCAGAGACCGAAAATTCAGGTGCATCTAGCTCCTTCAGAGACCAACGTTCAGCAATGACTCAGAATCTTGCCAGAGGTCACCCCTGAAATAATGGGGAACCCCAAATATAAGTGGAAAACAGGAAAATGTTGGAGGACACGGCAGGTAGCTTTCTTTGACAGTCATGTAGGTGCCAAGAAGAAAAGGAAGGATTTGGGGTTGGTGGCACACAATCTGATCTATGAAGAAAGTGAGTTTCACCCAGCAAATCCTACTTCCTAAAAGCAGCTCTGGCCAACCCCGCTTTGACACGAGGAGACACTGCTGGCAAGGGCATTCTCCTCCCTCTTAAACTCCCAGAGTCAGTGCAACAGCAGCAGTGAGCAGAGCAGAAGCCCACACACAGTAGGAAGACACGAAAGGGTGAAACCATAAGAAAAATGCCAGAGCATGGGGGAATAGAAAGCAAAACCATGAACAGCAACAACAAAACCCAAAGCCAGATGAGGTTGTATCTATTTGGGAAAGAAGGATTCAGTGTTCCCAGTGGTGGTAGGTTCTGCTCTTCTGGACACGTGAAATACTGAGTCACTTTGGGCATCCCAGGATAGGAGTTAGAAAGTTTTAAGTTGATCAAGCGAGAATGTCTGAGTCCTGCAACCTTCGATGGCAAAGTAAGTATGAGGATTCGCCTTTGGCCGTAGACACTGATAAGGAAACTAGCATCCACTTATTTGGAATAGTAAACGACCTGGCTCTTCCAGGTAACTCAGAAAGTCAACATACTGCATATATAAATTCCATGTTTCCCTTCCTGCCAACATCCAGTCATGGGAGACAGGGCCAAGCCACTTACTCCCCAGATGACACAAACCCAGTGTCTCACTAAAGAGATCTCGCTAAATAGACAATTTTTTGTATAAGTATCTTCTAGCTCCTCTTCCTAATGAGTTCAAGCCTACTGTCTCTGGTGAGGTTTGGGTTTTCGTTAAAAAATAAATAAATAAAAAAGGAAAAAGCCTACTATTTCTGCTGGAATTTTGAGCTACTGTGTGTGTGCAAATGGTACTTAGGAAAAAGTCAAAGTTTAGGTTCTTAGGAACAAACTGTTATTTTTTAACGTTATATCATTAGGCATTTTTTGGAAGCTCTACTCCTAATTAAAAAGGCAAGCAAGATACCACTTCAATAAAAGCTGATTGAGACAAACAAATATGCTTTCTTTCTCTGCCAGAACAAATCTGTTTGTAAGTCCTTCCTAGATTCACCTACTACAAAGTAGAACAGCTGAGATGGGCGTGGCACATTAGACACGTATGATTACATAAAATTTTATTAAGTGCTATGTAGTAGTATGAAACATCATTGCTTTTATAAACGGGCCACATAAAGGCTACCCGTTTCATCATAGCTACCGAAAATCAGTAGCTAGAAACTTTAGGTATACAAATTTAGACATATCAGGGTAAGTCAGAAAAACAACAACAACAAACCAAATTAATTCTCCTTGCCTTCTTACTCCTTTTGTTCCTTTTGGTCTTTGTCAGATGGGGCCTTGCTTTGCCGGCCTGGCTGATACTTCCCTTAGGCTGACCCTTCAGTCAGCAAAATTAGACAGAAAAGCCAGAACAAGAAGGGAAGAAAAGAAGGGGAAATGGAGGCAAAGATGAGAATCATTAAGAGGGTAGAAGATTATAGTTCAGAGGCTTTTCCTTTTGATACGTTTTCATGTTCCCTACAGCTACGACACTGAGGTAGCGTGTTACCTTGATCAACATTTTAACCCACAGAAGTCAACTCCACTAAAATGGTTAACCTTGGGATGGGTGAGTCCCCATGCTAACACCTAACTGGGAATGTCAGAGACTTTTTCCTCTCTCCCTCCCCCTGCTTTTCAAATGTTTTGATACTATGTAGACATGCAATCCTAAACATTTATTGAGGACAAGGAATTAGAAGGCAGGAAGCCAGTAATTTTTTTTTTTAAGCAACTGGATTATGACTGGGTGTTTTAAACTTACTTCCAGGTCACTTGAAATTATATCGATGTGAATTTCGTTCCCATTACTCTGAAACAGGCACTGCTCTTTACTGGCTGGCCTAAAGGATGTATATGCAGCGGTTCTCAAGGGCTCTCTGGTCTGTCCTGCAACAGGCATCCAACCCTTTCTGCCATCAAGGCCTGGACACAGGCTCCTAGGCAGATGTGTTCATGTCAAACCGACACACAGAGGTCCCCTCACTTAACATTCCAGCTTATCTGTTTACAGAACTGGATTTTTTAAGATGAAATAATCAACTCACACCTTCCCACAGAAAGATGGGACAATTGCCTACAGTATTTTCCTTTACAGTTTCACCTGCTTCACAGGAGGGCTGCAACTGACAAACAAAATGCAAGTGAGTACGTTTTGACCTGTTAGGATATCACAGGGAGGAAGCTGTCTTTTCCTTGTGAAATGAATAGGAATAAACTTTTGCATTCTTGTGAGTAATAAAACCCAGAATAGGATGCTTCAGTGGCTCTAACAGTCTAGATAATTTTTCTTATCAGAGTGCAATAGTTTATAGCTATTGTTATCAGACTTCATCAATGATGTACATTCCTGGTTTCATGTAAGCATTCCTTAGTTATTCAACATCTGTCACAGGTTTTGCACGTTCCTAACAAACACAGAACTTATCCTGTGGGGCATTAGGATGGCGCGCTTTACTGCTCTACAGAAAGTCCATTTGTGCTGTTTCTCAGTCCGCTAAGAACAGATGCAGTTGAGATTTCCAAACCCAGGGAAAATAGTATCCAGTTAAGCCACTCCCACAAGAGTTAAGCTGCCGTATTTCCCGAAGGAAAACAAACCTCTCGGCGAGGGCTCTGCTTGGTGCTCCCCTCACGGACAGCAACTCTTCCTCCAGCCGCTGCCTTTCGGCTTCTAGGCGTTCCAATTCATCTTGGGTACGTTTCTGTGGGGTGACGAACTGAAGCTCTTTCAAAAGTTCTTCTTTTTCATTAATCAGCATCAGTTTTTCCTTCTCAATATCCAGTGCCCCAGGCCAGGCCTCACTGTCCAATTTTGACAGTTCAATTTTTAAGTTGGCCATACTGAAAAAAAAAGATAAAAGAGGTATGCACATACTTAAAACTCCCGAGAAAGGTAAACACAGCCTAAGCCAAATTTGGGTTTGACACGCTGTCCAGATTTTCCTAACTTGACCTTACCAGAAAGGGGTGTGGTCTACTGGTGAGAGGCCGGAGTGGGAGCAGCAGCCTTGCACGCCAGTCTCTGGGCCTGACTCCACACTCAGCTGTCACTCACTTCTTTCCCCCCTCTTTAAAATGTGAGTGAGCACACCCAGTTATCTGACAAAAGGGTGAAGGCCAAGTACACAGAGGCTTCAAAAGGTGAGTGCTCTGGGGGCCACGAGAGAGGCCAGCCCTGACATGTGACTGCCTGTGTAGGTGACAGGAAAGAAGACTGGGGTGGGGGGGTTCCCTTTAAAAAAACTGAGGTGAATGATATCTGAGATGCCATCACTATACATTTTATTCCAATGTGTTTAGATGCTGTCCGCTAGTAAAATGGGAACCCCAGGCCAGGATGGACAGAGACTAGGGCATTAGTAAGTCAGGGAAGGAGAGGGCATCAAAGAGAGCAGTGGTGTGGCCAACTGGTATGAAAGCAGTTGGGCCGATGCAGTGGCTCATGCCCATAATCCAACAAGCAGGAGGATCATGGGAGGCCAGGAGTTCAAGACCAGCCTGGGCAACATAGCAAGACCCTGTCTCTACCAAAAATATTTTTTTAATTTTAAAAATTAGCCAGGTGTGGTGATGTGTGTGCCTGTGGTCCCAGCTCCTCGGGAGGCTAAGGTGAGATCACTTGAGCCCAGGAGTTTGAGGCTGCAGTGAGCCATAACTGTGCCATTGCACTCCTGCCTGGGTGACAGAGCAAGACTCTGGGAGTCAGGGGTTGATCCATCAAGGCTCCCCCATCGGAGGGCGCAAGGCCCTGGGAGAGAGAGTCAGGGGTTGATCCATCAAGGCTCCCCCATCGCCAAAAAGAAGGGGCAGGGCTTGGCCTTCTCCCGTTCACATTCTCCTTAAGTTGCACGTGAGTCTCCTCCCCATCAGTGCCCCGGCTGGTGTACAAGCCATTTACTGAGCAGTCACTGCACCGACACTTTATACATTATTGTGCTAGCCCCGTGGTTCCTCTGTACACAGCTATTTGCAGGCAGCATACGGTGGACCTTCACTAGTACAGGCAGCTGGTGTGACACCACTGGAGCGACAACAGGTGCTGAAGTGATGCGGACAGGTACACGAGAAGGAGGAGGAAATGCACCAAAGGCAAATCTCACTGGTTCCATAATTTTGCCTGACCCCAGATTTCTCTTATGTCGAGAGCTTCATCACACTTGGTAGAGTCAACATTACTCCTGACTCAGTACGAATGTCCTAACCACCCGAGTCAAATAACTTGCTACGTGGCACTGTGAAGACAATCAGGACATGGTTCTTTGGACCATAAGGACAAGAGCTCAGTGAACTATGAACTCCACTGATGTTTGCACATGGAATTTATGTTTCTACAGAAAAATGTTGGATGATTACTTTGGATATTGTTATAGTACACGCCAGAATATGAAAAATAGAAAAATAATTTTTTCCCATTTTCATGGGAGAATTTGTAGAAGGCAAGAGAAAAGGTGAATGAAAAACATAATCAAGAGCAAAGATGGAAGTAGATCCATACCTTTGTGTGATGAGTTTCTTGTTCTAATTAAAAATAAAATTGCCATCTTAGACTGGCACTGGGTATGCAGTGTACTTCTGATTTTCTCCCACTGTCTGCACTTATGATAGATGTAACATCAGCTATTCTTCAGCTTTAACCACAAAACCATAAACAACTGTCTCAACATACTAGAAAATTAATCATCAAAATGCTAAATAAGCATGATATTATTAGCTTCATTAAGCACATAAAACAAGGGCTGGAGGAGAAAACAGATTTCAGAGAAACACAGCCTGCCTCTTTACTTATTCAGAATTGAGGGGGAAAAAGCATTTTCAACATATGCATAAGCGCTTGAGATTCACCTTCTCATCAGCATCACTAGTAACTTTAAAACAAAACCCTAAATGGCATGGCAATGCAACCAAGTGGGGAAAAACCAATGTCTGAAGTTTTGATGTGATTGAATTAACCAACGGAACCAAGAACAACAACAGAATACAGGAAAAAGAGCCGCCTGTTTATTATTTGTGTGATCAGACATTAGGCAGGTCTTAAATTTTATTTTAGAAGGGATGTGCCAAATTTGGGGAGCAGAATATGAAGAAGCACCTAGGAAGAGAAATGCGATGTGAGCTCCAGATAAAATTAACTTAGAAGTCAAAGGAGGGGTGAAAGCTGAAGTTGATCCATGGGAAGCAGAGTCAAGCCCGAAAGAATGCAGGGGCATAAGGCCCACTTCTCCAAGACTGCTTCTGAGTAATGGCCATTCTCTTTCAGAAAAGCAGACCTAAATGATGGATTTTTCTACAGCCCAGCCCAGGTGGACATACAACAAGAGGACCACAGGCACTATCTACCAAAAGCTGGCACATCACTGGGCCACAAAACCAGAAGTTGATCCTCAATACTTATTGAAGGGAAGGCACTAATCTGGGCACTGAGAAGGGGATAATAAAGCCTAAACATTTTTCCTAACCTGAAGAAATTTAGAATCTGCCAGAGAAAATTTAAAGGCATTAAAATTAGCTGAGTAAATTGCTGTTCAGATTGACTAAGTGACTTGTTCAGGTTCACATGGTTAATAATTTGTGGAATGAAGTTTAGCTTTCTTTCAGGAAATGAGGAACCAAGTAATATTAAGAATACAGGTTACATAGAGGTGAATAGTGTATTTATTTTACTTTGTTAAAGCCAGATAACCTCTACGGACTATGGCTAATTGCTTTTAAATCATCACCAATAATAAGGAATATACTTCAATATCTGGTTCTCAGGTGAGCTTTTCATGATCATGGGGAGAAACACGATAAATTCCTGTTTCTTGCAGGACGACAATGCAGTTTTTCTCAATGTCCTCCTAAATAATAACCCAATAGCATTTTAAAGCTCTTATGAGGAAAATAATGAAATCAAATGCATCAGTATAATCCTTTCCCTCATAATAATGAGTTCTATCTTATAAAAAATATTTGAGTCTATCTACTAGATAAGGATGGTGAAGTCTCTTTTTTTGTTTTTGTTTTTTTTTGAGATGGAAGTTTCTTATGTCTCACTCCAGCAGAATCACAAAGTAAGAAAAAGATAGCACAGGGATTAAGAAAAGTTTATGATGTAAAAGAGAGAAATAATCTCTCTTTCTTTTCCCTAAAGTAAGTCGATTGGAACTGACACCTCAGCGCCTTCAAGGACATTAGCAGTAAGACTTCCCTTCAAATCAAAGGAACATACTTACTCGCCTTAGAACTCCTCAACAGCTATTTAGTCCTATACCTGAACCACCGTATCATATTTCCATCAAAGCAACCAATCGTCTCACTTTTAATTGAGAGTTAAGTATTGTACCAACTCAAAGCTTCTTTTTTCTCAGAAGAGAAGGGGGCAATTTCATTTCCACACTTCTCATTAATTCTCCCTGTTCTTTAGCCTTTGGTGGTGGGGAGAGCCGGGGGAAGAAAAGGTAGACCAGAGAGGAAGCAGCCCTTACACGCTAAAAACCCAAGGGTGGCCTTGGTAAGAATGTATGGGGAGTGCCCAGCAGATGTCACCGCAGAAGTAAAGATTAATTCTGGAAAAGGAAATGTTTGAGCCATGCACAAAACAGCTTCTCTGTCATTACCTTCTTTTGGCTTCTTCATACTGTAGGCTTAGCCTGACCTTTTCAGCTAAATTTGATCTACTTCTCACTCCAATCTAGTGGAAAAAAGGAAAAAAGTCAATTAACTCTGCTAATGAATGAAGTAAATTGCTTTTGTTTCTAGGAAGTATGTGTAATTGAAAAGTTAAAGAAGATGGTACTGAAATTGGGAAACACCAATTTAAAAAGACACTTATTTTATTGTCTCAGTAGGGGCAAAACATCTCTTTCAATTCAAGCTCATCTGTTTTTCAAAGACTCTAACATTATTTTCTCTACATGTTAAATTCAAGATAAAAAATATCCTGATATTGTAAATACCAAGGTAAATGTGTCTGGTATCTTAGAGTTTATGAAGGGTGTACAGGTCAATAAAATTTATGAACTGGAACTAATTTCTTTGCCTTTATGAGCCTAATTTCTAGCATTTAGCTTTCAACTGTACAAAATATAAACTAAGTTCAAAAATTAATTTTCAAATAGGTAAGCCCTACTGTTGATCTCTGTTTTACTTTCACATATTTCAAAGCACATATTTCACATATTTCAAAGCAGCATAAAAGAATATGAAAATAAATGGGAATGTATTGAGAAGTAAATACTTGCTAATGGCATCCCAAAATGGAGAAGGTAAAATAGTCAACAATAGCCAAGCCACATTAAATATTTAAATGGCAGATATAAATCACAGATTAAACATTTTAATATAATCAATTAAGATTTACAAAAACAAGTTTTCTTATTAGTCTTAAAAGGCATGTTTTTCTGTTTCTCATTGGCGTAATGTTTATTTGAAAGAACCTAAATTTCCAAGACTCTAAACGTAATAGGAAAAAGTTAAATTCTCACAAGCCTCTAGCCTTTCAATGTGTCTTTAAAGGAATATAGCATGAGAAAGTTTGAACAAAGCTATTCATATGGACCAATCCTGACACGCTTGGCACCTAGATAGAAAAGATGAGGCTATGATTTTTAAAACTAATCTTATGAGACTGAAACACTGAATGCACACAGCCAGAATCCAAGTCACATACACTTCTGGTTCCAGTTCACCATCCATATTGCAAGTAAGGCCCATCAAGGACAACACTGGGCCAACCCTTCAACACAGATAACTTACATCTCCGGAAATGCTTGTTTGTGACCCGGCATCAAGGGTCTGTCTGGAGAGAGATAAATGAGAGCTCACAGGACTAGATCTCAAATCTGGCTCAGATCTGCCAATGTTCTGATCCAAATGAAACCGCTCCTGCAGCTTAGCAAGACTCTGTTCAGAAAACACAAAATTTTTCATAAATGAAGAGAGCAAACCTTCCCTACCAGGTGAAATTAAAAGGAAAGAGATAATCTCAATGGAAAAAAAAAACTACTTTATTTAGTAGGTACTTACCACTTTATATAATTGAAAAAATAATAGTAGGATATAATTTTGCACCTACATACGTGACTTCAGAAGCGAGATCGTATTAAACCAGTTGTCTTATCTTTCCCAAGATAGCATTTTCCTATGAATGGTATCTTTAAAATACATGCATGTCTTATTTTTAAAAATTTCATTAAGAAGTTGCCTCTATTTCAATAGGAACCCACTCACTTTATGCAACTGAAATTCTGGAAACACAGTATCTATAATGTAATCTCTCATTTTAGATACAGTAAGAGAATTTCCTACTTTGAAGACTTCTTCAATTATGCCATTGTACATCTGGACAGGACCCAAGAGATTATTTAGCTCACATCAACATTAGAGATTAGGAAACTGAGGCTCAGAAGTTGCTAATGAATGGCACAGGCATCAAACAAGCCCATCTGTGTGTCTACTGCATGGCACTGCCTGTGGCGACATGTTTGGCTTGGTAAAGAGAATAATCAAAAGCAAATGTGCCTGCTGGGGGCACTCAGGTTTAATATACTGTGTTTACTTCAGAGGGAGGATATGAACAAGTGAAAGTATTGAAAAGGAAAGACTAATCTGAATCACTTAAAACAGTAAAATGGAAACCCTACAGTAATACTAATAAAATGATAAGAAATGATTATTATCAACAAAAGAACCTGTATTTAATCCTGATATTTAAAATTTTCATGATTAGGAGGAATTAGAAATATCAGAGATCAGGAATTTTTTACCTAACTTTCTCTATTTTCTTCCAAAGGGATATTAATTCTCTCTCTCTCTCTCTCTCTCTCTCTCTATATATATATATATATATGAGGATAAAACATAAATGGTCACATCAAATAATATAGAAAAGAACAAAAAAACCTTTTAGTGACCTTGTGCAAGTCTTTTCTATTTTTCCATCTATACAGTGAAAAAAAGTCAGTGTTCTTCAAACTTATCTGTGATGGCAATACATTCAATCAATTTAGCAGGTTGTTACTAGTATTTTTTTTTAAAAGAAATAGAAGATACTAGAAAAGAAAATCGGAGTACATCACCAGCATTAAGAGTACGCATATTTCTGTGAAATTCATTTTGAGTGTGTATGTGTGTGTGTGCACCTGTTTATCTATAGGTACACACAATTGTGTGTTACTGGGTTTTGATGTAAAATCTATTTCTTACTGTGATCAAAGAGGTTTGAAAGTCACAGAAGATATCGAAAGTCCCTTCTAACTCTATTGTCAATCTCTGCATCTACTAATTAATTATTCTATGTACTTTAGTAACTAAAAAGGAATCTAATCTTTTAATTTAATCGGGCCTGCAGATGAATCCAAAGTTTATAGGAAAAATGAAAGAGGACCTAAAATTGTTGAATTAGAAGGTTCCAATGTAAATTTGCTCCAGTTCTATTAACTTTTTTTTTTTAAAGGACCTATGACATGCATTTCTGGAATTACTGACTTAATCAGCAAGACAATTGCAGAACAAAACCAAAATACACACCAGCGAAGTCCTGCACGTGTTATATATATGGTAAAACCACATTAACCCAGCCTGCCTGGGCTTAAACCACAGTCTTGCTACTTACCAGCTGTATGACTTTAAAGAAACTTTAATTTTTCTGTGCTGTAATTTCCTCGTCTGTAAGCCGAGAATAATAATAGTGCCTACCTTTAGTGGCTGTTGTGAGGATCAAGGGAATTACTTATATGCAAGGCAGTTAGAAGAATGCCTGGCACAAAGTCAGTATTTATAAGTATTTGCTGTTGTTATTGTTGTCTTTTCTATTAGATTTCTTCTTGCAAGTAATGCAAAATTATATGGATCCAAGAATATTTATCTATATTCAACTCATATTTTGAAAACCAACATCAAGTAGTTAAATATGGTATTTAAATGTAGATGTTCTATTGAGAATGTAAACATCATCAGTGACTCTAACATTTTCACAAAGATGCGGACTGAATTATTCCTCAGCTAAGTAAGAACTCCAAATATATGAAATAAGAATTCTTAGTGTTTGTGATAATTACGGGATGGACGGAAGGAGAGGAAGAGACACCCCCTTGTATTTGATAAGTATAGATATTCAGAATACTGATCACTTAATGGCTATTTTGTTTTTTCTACACATGCTGCTGGATCACTGGGAGTGAAGACCCACAGGCTGAGAAGTGAATGGGTTTAGTCAGGGGATCTACGGCCATGCGCAGCTTTCCGAGGGTAACTGTATAGGCATCCCCCAGCTGGGTTAGCACTCCCCACCTCTCAGCTGGCACCCCAGAATCAACTGGGTCGGAAAACTTTTCTAAGCTCCTCACATAGTCTCATCCCCAAAAGGCAAGCCTTCTACTTACTGATGGCAAATGACATATCCCTTGTGTATCCTGGGCTGAGAATTCTGCTTATTGGGGTCCCACAGGAAGTTTTCAGTGAGTTTCAGGGTGCACCAAGATGTTAATCTCCTTACATGAGCTCCAGGCCCCGCCACCCACTATCTCAAAGGCCATCCAAAGGCTGTTTACAACAAAGCGTACGGTCACTTGGAATCACTCTGCTCTGCTCCAAGGCAGCAGGCTACCTTTGTGCCTGCAACCATCTCCGCAGGGCCCATTCTGCACAAATGCAGCTGGGGTGGAAGGGGTCACCCAGACTCTCAGGGAGCACTTCTGCCCCAGTAAGAGTTTCTGGGGGCCTCAGAAGGTAGAAGTTTGGCTTAACAAAATGTTTTACAATGTACCTGCATCAGATCTTGTTTTTCTTTTTCTCCTGAGCTAATGGCTTTTCTGATAGATTTTAGTTCTGTTAGAATGGCTTTGGCTTCACTGAGTTCATACCCGCTCTGGCCTCCAGACATTTTTTTATCAATTCTGTGAAAAGAGAAAAAGAAAGAAAAAGTATCAAAGAATGATCGCATATAAGTTAAACAGACAGTAGGAATTGGTTTCGGAATTGTCTAAGTTGGATGATTATTTCACTTCTGACTCTCATATACCAGCAATCATCTTTTCAGGCGGTTACTCCTCATTTCTCTTTTTTTTTTTTTTTTTGAGATGAAGTCTTGTTCTGTCGCCCAGGCAGGAGTGCAAGTGTGCGATCTTGGCTCACTGCAACCTACGCCTCCTGGGTTCAAGTAATTCTCCTGCCTCAGCCTCCCAAGTAGCTAGATTATAGGCGCCTGCCACGATGCCCGGCTAATTTTTGTATTTTTGACAATGATGGGGTTTCACCGTGTTGGCCAGGCTTGAACTCCTGATCTTGTGATCCGCACGCCTCGGCCCCTCCTTTCTCTTTTAATCACAGGCGGCTAAGATTTCTCCCATCCCTCACTTCAAACCCAGTCCATTTCTAATCACTTTCAGGTTCAAATAAATGCATGTCTTTTTGCCTTCAACCTGTTTGAATGATCCCACTGCTGGCCGAACCCAAATCTTATCAAGTGCTGATTCTGATCTTCACCCAAGAAAGGTAAAAGACATGGGCAAATGCTTTAGCAGAAGAACACAGAGGCAAGTAAACTGCCACCTACTTTTACATAATGTTTTGCTGTAATGTCTGTGCAAAACCTGGCACAGGGCCTGCAGCTTGTGAGGCCTTTAATAAATGGTTAATACACAAATTATTATTTATATTAGTGAGTATCCTATAATGTTTGGATTGTGTGGTTAGTTTCTTATTTCTCTCTCTCTCTCTCTATATATATAAAATATATAGTATTTATTCTGCTTTTATGAAAGTTATGAGTCAAGATAAAATTGCTTGACTTGCTGGATGAGTTCAAACTTAGGAAAATGGCAGAAGGGCAGTAGCCATTTCTCAACTCATATTGAATAAACAGCTCTTCAATGAGCTAATTTATTATCCCTGCAGAGCTGCTTACCAAGTGTCCTTACAGTTTACATCGTCACTTTAGGCTGGAGGATTTCATGTAACCTAATTCTTTGTGTTTGAAGGGCCTAATAAAATTACCTAACTCTTTTTTAAAAAATAGTTTCATGTACTCTTCATGATCACTCTCCTGGTCTTCCCCAGCGACCTGTGCTGTCTGGGATTCACTATGAATTCAGCACGAGTTCTCCTTGTGGGACATATGGCTATGCCTCTGCCCTAGCCAACAACTCTATACACGTTCTTAGACATAGTTTTGGTCTTATCCAGAGTCTCCAGAGAAACAACACCTACTGAATCAGAGAAAACAGACTCTCAGCTCATTTGGTTTAAAACATTTAATAATTAATACTTATTTGCAATATGAAAGGTATAATCCGAAAAAGATAAAGCAATGTCATCTTAATCACTCTTCCAAACAAAGTCCACTCAAACAAGTGCAGTTTGTAGATAACGTATTTCCCCAAGTACTGTTTTAGTCACTACCTTATGCTGCTCAACAAGCAATTAAAGACTTAAGAATCTAAGAAAATAAAATAAACTTGATCATAAGATCATCTAATAATAAAGTACAACCAATCAAATCACAGATTAAACACATGCACGTGTGCGTGCACATGCGCACGCACACACACACACAGACACACAGTGTTCAGAATGGGAAGAGCCCCTAAAGATCCCCTAGACACTTCTTCCAAATGAAGAAGCCAAGGGAGAAAGTTGATGCAAATTTATACTCCAAATTGCACAGACACTTAGCTAGTAGGGGAACTATCCTAAAATGACAGATTCAGAACTGGGGCCCTTATGACTAACACATTTAGAATATCTGATGGGACTAGTGAAGTACTTTGAATATCAGCTAATTCCATTCATTTGGGAAGAGATTTATCAATGGAATTTCTGACTCTCTTAAGTATTATATCCACCAACTTAGCTGAGGAAATCGCTTATTAAAACAAATGATATTTCCAAATATAGCATTTTGGCATTTTCAAATGTAGCACTTCTTAACTAAAAATAAAAACTAAAATGTGGGATTTCATAAAATAGGTAGTAATAGGGGTATCTGAAATTGCGTCAAAGTGAACTTCTAAAACTCAATTTCTTCCTGTTAGCGTAAAGTCTTCAGAATTTAATGATAAAACAAATCTTTGATTCAGAAATAAATATAAACTTTATCATGTGAAAATAAAAGCAGGTAAGCTGTTTTCAGAAATAAACCTTAACATTTAAAAAATAAAAGCAGGACTGGTTCAAGGCCGCTAATTTAAATTTCATAGAGCTTTGACCACATGAAAATCTCTTGGCTGTCCACTGCTCAACAGAATGCTAAATATGAAGAACACGGCTCAGCGTTCATCGTGGAATGCTTTTTGCTCATTTCCTTTTGCCTCCTTTGAACTTCTCTACTTTACGTGCTGCCTTTTTCCTTTATTTCACTGTTTCTTGTTTTTCTCCTCTACTTTTCTTTTCCCACTTTTTCTCTTTTGACACTAACTTGCCATAAAATTAACCAAAATAGAAGCATCATTTGCTGACTTAAAGTATCATGCTTTTTGTTCTTAATATGAGAAGTGCCATTTTTTTTCCTTAAAATTTCTTTTGGAAGTTCTTGACTTGAGTGTGCCCTATAACTCATTTTCACTCAATATATTAGTCTCTTCTGAAAGAGAAAAGATGTTCATTTGCATTCCTTCTCTGGAAAGTGTATACCCTGAGAACCAAATTTTCACAGAATCTGTATATGCCTGTGACTTGCTGTTTCATCACTAGTCTATTTTCCAATTCTGAATGCACACTGGAGGCAGCAAATGGAAATAGGCATCTTCCTGGTATCCACTTACACATATACTACACCGCTGCTTATGCCAAAGTCAAATCTGGGACCGCAAACTGAAATGAATAACGTAGAGAACAATGCCGTATTTGTCTACCCAGCATAAAACTATTGTACCAAGTAAAATGAAAGCTCAAGTTTAAATTACATTATAATTCCAGATTCAACAAATATATTCCATTCTATTGTAAATAAAAGCTACAAAAGCCTACAATAAGATTCTATTGAAATCTTTTCCTGAAATATATTTTCTGTCATAGCCACAAATATAAATCCCTTTATAGTATCAAGAATGTGGTTTCTTAAAAAGTCCGGCTGCTGGGTTTGATTGTTGCTCATTCAGCGTTTTAGTGGTATGGTGGTTAACACTGGAATAAAAACAGCTTCATTTGGTCTATAGTAAAGGTACACAGGAGAGGTCTCTGATGTTAGATACCATATCTTTCCGCTCTTGGTTCAAGGGATTAGAATCATTGCCGGAGAATGTCTGAATTTCTACAACAAATGTCTATTGTTTTCTTGTGGAATGTTATTGACAGATTCTTAAACATGCCTTAGATTCCTATAAAAATTGCTTGCAAGCAAACTGTTTTGAAACAGTACAGCATTGTTACATCAATACAACAAAGACAGCAAGTTTGGCTAACCTTTAATCCCAAAAGGTGATGCGAGTTATAATTTCATGTGCCTTAAAAATGTGGAACATATGGCTAAACACTTCATGGCACTCTTCAAAGTCTGTTTTTTCTCCCCACCCCCACCACAAAGCCCTGCTTTATGTTGATAAACAATTACTAAATAACGCACTCATGTCATTCGAGTTCTGCTCGGTTTTTTGGGGAGCTCTGCAACCAGCTGAGGTTCTTACAACATGGCTGGACTTCAGAAGCACTTGGGATCTCATAAAATATACCTGATATAGAGACTAGAAACATTATTTTTCTAAGCACTCTCCAGATTATCCTAATATGCAGTCAGGTTTGAGAACCACTGGGATGGGAGCATCTGAAGGAATATCAGGGTCATGATTATATGTGGTGAGCAGGAAAAAAGGAGTCTGAGCGGTAACAGCACATGTGAAATTAGTCATACGTCTGACTGGTGGTCAAGAGCAGCGTCCGGGTATCCCAAGACATGACTAGTCACCCAAACAAGAACAACCAGTTTGTTTGTCTGGCCAGTGACACACAGGATCTTTAAAGGGGGTCACCCCTCGCTGCTTGGAGCATCCCAAATTTCCTAAGAGCAGAAGGCAAAGTAAGATTCCACAGGCAAAAGGAACACAGCTGGGTACTTTCCAAAGAGGCAGCACCTGAGACCAGCTTGGCATTCCTGAGGTGCTACCAAGGGAGATGCTAGGAAGAACATGAAACCTGCCTGAACAGGAAACTGACCAGGGACATCCCTAGAAATACTGCACCACACTTGGAGACACCAAGCAGGAGGGAAGTTGAACCTCCGCTATGTGGTCATGTGGCTGTGAAAACCACGGACTGTTTCTCTCCCATGAGAGACCCTGTGGAGTAGAGTCTGCAGGATTGGAAAGTCTCAGGTGTGCCTGTCATGGTTTGGACAGGCTGGGCCTCAGCAGCAGGGAGAACAGTGGCTTTCAGGGGCCAGGCATGGGGAAGGGATATCCTGATCCTGTGACCCTCTGTCACCTCCATTTCCACTTAACCTGGCCCAGCTTAGGGCTCTGCTAATGGTCCAGCTGACTTCAGTAGCAAACGGGAAAAGTAGAGGAAGGCAGGAAGTGAGGTACGCACTCCCGCTCCTTTGCTGATAATCCTGACTTGCTCTTACTCCCCTGCCATCTGTCAGGGTTAGACTCCAGGTCATCCCTGGGGCTGACAGAGAGAGACAGACAGGCCTCCACCCGAGGGCCCAGGGCAGCTGCAGGCTCACATAGGGGTCAGGTAGAGTCAGCCCAGCCGAATGTGGAGAGGAATTTCTTGTGCCTAGTCTCTTAGCTCGGTACCACAATCTTAGAGGAGGCCAGCAAGGGTCCAGGAGATCAAGGTAAGACAAAGGCTTTTCATTGGTTTCTTTGGATCTCCAGTGATTAATAAAAACTTTGGAGCTTTTCAAGTGTATAGATCTTTCCCAAGTTTGTATCTGTTAGTTGATTGCTTGGTTTTCTTTTGGTGTAGAGCTCTGAACTTTTTACTTTATGTTTCTCTGGAAAAGCTCTTATGTAATCTGTACTTCTATTTTCTTTGTTAGTTAGGAAGCCTACTCTAAAGTTGATTCAGTATTTTCATACTCACTGCTGCAATGTTTCAAAGCCTTGTTCTTTATAGAGCAGTTCTTGCTTCATCTGTGAGAGTTCTCTCTTTAGCTTTTTAACCTTTAAAGAGAAATCAACACAAATATTAATGTTTGCAAATAATTAGCCACATAGCCTATTGTTTTAAAAGATAATGAATTAGTAAACGATTAAACACATAAACAAAGCCATTAGTTAAAGTAACATTTACTTTACCAGTTTCTCCTTCACATAAATTCTGTGGAAGGCATATGAATAATGTTTAAAACTATCAGTGATGTGTATTATTACTACTATTTACCTTCATTACCTTGCTTAGCAACATTCTTATGAGCTGGACATCATCATTGTCTCCAGCCAAAATGGGCAGAATAAGAACTCCAAGTCATGGCATCTCTATAAAAGTGTGTGTTTTTCGTTCTCACTGTGACAAGTGTCACTGCCCACCTCTCTATTCTTCGGATGTCCCGGCAGTTCCCTCTGCCTGGAAAGCTCTCCCCAGATCTCCAGCAGTTGACTCCCTGTCCCTCCAATGCTAGCTGAAATGTTACCTTTTCAAATAGGACTTCTCTAGCTCCCTGTCCCTGCCACGACTCTGTTTTACTTAGACCAGAGTATTTTTCAGGAGCTGAAATTCTCCATGTACACTGTCTGTCCTCCATGGGAAAGTAAGCTGCAATCCCCCAGCTGTATCCTGAGATCTACAACCATGCCAAGCAAACAGCAGATGATCAATAAATATCTGTTGTCAAACTGATAAAATATATTTTTCCTGTTGTCAAATACATACTTTGGTAATAACAATTCTAAAATTTGACAGATCACAAAAGCAGCACGTGCCTGGTTTAGTCACAAACTAATAAAGATCTTCACACGAGGGCTAGAAACTTACTTCCATGTATTAAGTTAGAGCCTTAAGTTTTTTGTTGTTGTTGTTTGTTTGTTTTTTTGAGACAGAGTCTCGCTCTGTCGCCCAGGCTGGAGTGCAGTGGTGCGATCTCGGCTCACTGCAACTTCTGCCTCCCAGGTTCAAGCAATTCTCGTGCCTCAGCCTCCAGAGTAGCTGGGATTACATGCGCCTGCCACAACGCCTGGCTAGTTTTTGTGTTTTTAGTAGAGACGGGGTTTGACCATGTTGCCCAGGCTGGTCTTGAACTCCAGGGCCCGAGCGATCCACCTGCTTCGGCCTCTCAAAGTGCTGGGATTACAGACGTGAGCCACCGTGCCCAGCCAGAGCCTTAAGTTTTAAACACATTCTGTTGTGCAATATTTTAGTGTGCTTTTGAACTTTTATGTTGATTTATTTTACTCATTCCACAAAAAGGTATTGACTCTTTACTATGTGTCCGGTGCCGGGCCTGAGTGTGAACAAAACAGATATGATCCCTGCCCTCAAGGATCTTACAGACAATGGAGCAGCCATATATTGAGCAAATAATCAGCCAACAAAAGAAATCTTAGTAATTACAAAAGGTGCTCTAAGTTCAGGATACTTAGATAGGCCAAGAGAACAGAACCTCATTTAGTCTGAGGGCTTTGGGTGGAGACTGTCTGAAGAAACAATGTTTCAATTGAGAGGGTTAGTGGGGACTCACTTGGTAGAAGGGGTCCTCAACAGGAAGAGCTTGTGCAAAACCCTAAAGGGACAGTGGGGTGAGGGGGTATTCAGTCAACCTCTGGAATTTAAAGAATGCCACGTGGCTGGATTACAGAGAGTGGGGGTGGCAAAAGATGGAACTGGAAAAGGACTGATACATAGATGCCACATTGAGAATTTCTCAATCTTACTCTAAGAACGAGAATCAAGGAGATTAAAGCATGACCTGCTTTATGATTTTAAACAGTTACTGTGACAACGCTGTGGGGACTGACCAGAAGTGCCGCAAGGGTCCATCATGCCAGCACTGTGGGCTGGCATGTGGGCAAGAGCCAGAGGAGGAAGATACTTCAGAGGGAGAATCAACAGGACTTGGTGATGGACTCAACGTGGAGGGTAGGGGAGAGCATGTGACCAAAATCACATCAGGATTTTGGCTTGACAGCTGGGTGAATGAAGGTGCTTTCCTGGAGAGCAGGACAAAATGTGAAAGAAAACAGGAAGGATTTTCTTTAAGACATTTATTTCTGTGATGCCCAGGAGACTTCAATGGTAACTAGAATATGTAGACTTGATGTTCAAAAGTGTCTGGACTAGAGAGAGATAATTTAGAGTCATTGGCATAAAGATGATATTTTAGGTGCATAAGAATAAACAAGATTACCTAAAGGGGGTGTGTATTGAAAAGAGAAGAGCGTTCAAGAGCAAGCCTTGGGCATCTCCATTATTCACATATCTACTAGAGGTAGAGACAAAATACACTGTGAAGTAGTGGCAAGAGATGTAAGAGGGAAAAAAAGGGCATCTTAGAATACAGGAGAACAATGTCAAGAGAGAGACCAGGCACTATGAGGAACACCGTGACAAAGACAGGAGCGGTGGAATACTCATGTTTGCATACCTTTAGGCACACTGCTTTGGACAAAGCAGATATTCAATAACGCATCTGTTGAGTTTACCTGAAGGTTTATCAGTTTGTGCCCTTATGTACTTATATTAGGGAAAATAAATACAATAATTATGTTTCAAGGCCCAATTTATAACTACAAAGAGTTATAAACAGTGCTACTGGAACTCAAAGGAAGAAAGGATTACTTATGGTTTGGGGATGAGGGTGGAACTCCTTGAGAAGGCTACCTGAACTGGATTTTAAAGGTGTTGTAATATGAATTAACAGCAATGAGCTCATTCACAGTATATCACAAAAACATTTCAGTTTTAATATTAAACTATATCATATCAAAATAACCACAGCAATCAGTAGCTCATTCTACATGTATTTCTATTTAGGACAGCATTCTCAAGCGCTTTTTGCCAAAAAGACAGCAACACTTTCATCTTTTGGGAAAAAAAAAAAAATCAGTCCAAAAATTGATAGCACTTATATATCTGAGCTAAAACCTGTCTTTACCTTTGAAAATACAGTTTGTTACAACAGCAACAAATAAAACAAAATACCTAGGAATTAACTTAACCAAAGAAGTGAAAGATTTCTACAATGAAAACTATAGAACAAGCTTGCCCAACCCACGATAGCTTTGAATGCAGCCCAAGTTCGTAAACTTTCTTAAAATATTATGAAGATATTTGCTTTTCTTATTTTTTATTTTTTAGCTTATCAGCTGTTGTTAATGTTAGTGTATTTTACGTGTAGCCCAAGACAATTCTTAATCTTTCACTGTGGCCCAGGGAAGCCAAAAGATTGAACAACCCTGCTATAAAACATTGATTAAAGAAATGGAAGAGGACACACAAAGGTCAGACAGACCATGTTCATGGATTGGACGAATCAGTATTATTAAAATGTCCATACCACCCCAAGTAATCTACAGATTCAATGCAGTCCTTATCAAAATATCAAAATCCTTTCATAGATACAGAAAAAACAATCCTAAGATTTATATAGAACCAAAAAAGACCCAAGATATCCTGAGCAAAAACAACAAAACTGAGAGACTCACATTACCTGACTTCAAATTGTTAAAGCAAACTAAATATGGCCTGAGAAGGACTTCATACTTCTATAATTGAGATCTCGTGGATGAACTGTAACCTCGCTTAATAGCCAGACAAAATTGAAAACCTAACAGTATATACCTGTAACAATAACTGAGTGTTGGCCAATCCCAGTGGCCATACTTCAACCCCTCACAGACTGCTGAATGTTCAAACTGTGTTCAAATAAGGCAAATGCCAAGCTGTAACCAGTCTCACTGTTGCTGTACCTCACTTCCAACTCCTGTACGTCACTGTACGTTTTTTGTCTTTACATTTGTTCTGACCACAAGGCACTCCCGGAGTCTCTGTGAGTCTGCTGTGAATGTGGGGGCTGTCCGAGTCACAAATCGTTCATTGCTCAATTAAACTCCTTTAAATTTAATTCGGCTGAAGTTTTTCTTTTTTCCAAATTATACAACAGAGGCATAGTAACCAAAACAGCACACAACTGTCATAAAAACAGACACACAGATATAGAGAACCAGGAAGCAAATCCACAAATTTACAGTGAACTCATTTTTGACAATGGTGTCAAGAACACATATTGGGGAAAGGACAGTCCCTTCAGTAAATGGTGCTGGGAAAACTAAATATCCACATGCAGAAGAATGAAACTAGACCCCTATCTCTCTCCATATACAAAAATCAAGTGAAAACATTCGATTAAAACAATGGTGATATTGAACCCATTTAGAAATAATGAATTAAAACAATTACTGTATCTTATTGACAAAAAATAGAAGTCTTAAAATCATTGGATTGCATGAGATAAATATTATACAAAAAATCATTTGGATTATGATGATAGGCCAATTTAAATTTTTTTTAAAATTATTTAAGACATTCTTTATCTTGAAGAGCTATTAGTACCCCCATGTTCGCTGCAGCATGATTCACAATAGCTAGGATACAGAAATAATCTAAGAGTCCACTGACAGATGAATGGATTAAAAAAACATAGTGTGTATACACAATGGAATATTATTCAGCCTTTAAAAAGAAGGAAAGTCTGCAATATGTGACAATATGAATGAACCTTGAGGACATTATGGCAAGTGAAATAAGCAAGTCACAGAGGGACAAATACTGTATGATTCCACTTATGTAAAGTATCTAAAACAGGCTCATAGAAGCAGCAGCAAAATGGTGGTTGCCAGGTGATGAGGTGTACAGAAAAGGCAGAGTTGCTACAGGAAATAAAGTTTCAGTTATGCAACATGAAAATTAGTCTAGAACTCTGCGGTGCAACATTGTTTTTATAGTTGAATATAGTATACACTTAAAAATTCTGTTAAGAGGGCAGATCTCATGTTAAGTGTTATTACTACAATAAAAATTGAAATTCAAAAAACGTTGACCTGACACACTTGGACTCTCCTCTGTTTAGGTGATATGAGTGAAATTTTATTCTATGTTGGGTGACAATCACATAGGAAACTAACCTGTGCTTTCTTTGTTCCCCACATTATTTAGTTTACCTAAAGTT